GCTGCCTGCTGCCCGGGAGGACTCCCCTGAGTGAGTGCCTGAGGGCCCTGCTCTTGCCACTTACCACCTGGCCCAGGGCGGGGCCTGACAGGCCTCACTAGGACAGTTGCTGTTACTGCTGGAGGGGCACAGAGTGTTTTTAAAATGTTTTTAAAAATTTCTTTTGGATTTTTTGTATGTGGGGGTGGGATGGATGTTTGGTTGGGCTTGGGGAATTTTTTTGATTTTGATGTTTTTGTAATTTTTACAGTTTTTTGTTTGTATTGTTTTATTGGTTTTGTTTGTTTGTTTGTTTGTTTAAGGTGTTATTTTGTTCTTAAGGGGAGGGGTCAGGGCTGCCGGGGAGTGGGCCCCAGCCCACAAAATGGCTGGGGCATGTTCCACAGGGGGGGATGCACTGGGACAACCGATCTCAGTGATCACGGGTAGGAGGAGGAGTTACGCTAAGACTAGACCATGTCATTACAGAGGGGGCAGGTTTAGTCGTTGTCTGAGGACTATTCCTGCCTCCGGGTCTGGTCCTGACCGGATGGATACTAGAATCAGCAAGGGATACCCACATGACCTGAAGGTGCTGCTGTGCAATGCCAGGTCAATGATTCATAAGACCACTGCCATCCATGACTTGATCATGGATGGAGGACTTGACCTGGCATGTGTAACAGAGACTTGGTTGGATGAAGCAGATGGGCCTGTCCTTGCCGCTGCTTGTCCACCAGGTTTCTCTTACGCACAGCAACCCAGGTCATGTGGGCGGGGAGGGGGGGTTGCAGTGATTTTTAGGAAGTCATTAGTTTGCACCAGGCGTCATATTGGGAAGACCCAGTTTTCCGAGTGCATGTTCTGGAGGTTGGGCAATAGGGGCAGTACAGGTTTCCTTTTGGTGTACCGACCTCCCCGCTGCACCAAGGATTCCCTGCCTGAGCTGCTTCAGGTCGTGGCGGATGTTCTCCTGGAGACACCTAGCTTGGTCGTCCTAGGGGATTTTAACATCCATGCCGACACGACCTTACAAGGGGCCGCTCAGGACTTCGTGGAAAGCATGGCCTCCATGGGGCTGTCCCTGAATAAGTCTGGCCCAACCCATAGCCGCGGACATGCCTTGGACCTGGTGTTTACCTCTATGGATGTTGGTGATCTGACACTAAGTAAAAGCGAAACGAAAGAAGTGCCATGGTCAGATCACTTCCTGGTGCAACTGGACTTCTCTGCGACCCATCCCCTCTGCAGGGAGGTGGGACCAATTCGGATGGTCCACCCCGCCACTTAATGGATCCAAATGGTTTCCAGAGAGTGGTAGGGGATGCTTTATCCCATGTTGATGGCCTTTCAGCTGATTCCCTGGTGGCCCGCTGGAATGTGGAGTTAACCAGGGCTATTGACTGTTTGGCTCCGAAGCGCCCTCTCCGATTGCATGGAGCCCGGACAGCCCCGTGGTTTTCCACGGATCTGAGGACAATGAAACAATCGTTGAGACGGCTAGAGCACCGGTGGCGGATAACTCATTCCGAATCTGACCGGACACAGGTTAGAGCTCAATGTCGAGCCTACCAAGTGGCGATAGTGACGGCGAAGAAGAATTTCTTCACCGCCTCTATTGCATCTGCAGAAAACAGCAGCAGAAGACTTTTTCAGGTGGTTCACAATTTAGCGGAACCACCTGCAACATCGGGGCCCAGTACGGGCCACATGATCTCCTGCAATGATTTTGCAAAGTTTTTTGCAGATAAAAGCGCTCAGATTCGGGAAGAAGTAGACGCCACCGTGGGAGCAGGGCCGGGGCGGGAGAGTGCTAGAGTTTTGTCTAGTCAAGTTGCGTGGGATCAATTCCAATCTGTTACCTCCGAGGATGTGGACAGGCTGCTTGGACGAGTGAAACCAACCACCTGTCTCCTGGATCCTTGCCCATCCTGGCTTATAAAAGCTAGCCGGGAAGGACTGGGCGATGGGCTTCGTGGGGTGGTGAATGCTTCCCTCCGTGAGGGAGCCTTCCCAGACCCACTGAAAGAGGCGGTTATTAAACCGCTTCTTAAAAAACCATCTTTAGATGCAGCCACGATGGCCAACTATCACCCAGTCTCAAATCTTCCATTCTTGGGCAAGGTGATTGAGCGAGCGGTTGCTGAACAACTCCAGGCACGCCTGGAAGAAGCGGACCATTTGGATCCCTTCCAGTCGGGATTCAAGCCTCATCATGGGACTGAAACTGCCTTGGTCGCACTGGTTGATGATCTCCGGCGGGCTAGGGACAAGGGTGAGAGCTGTTTCCTAGTTCTGCTGGATCTCTCAGCGGCGTTTGATACCATCGACCATAACATCCTTCTGGACCGTCTTGAGGGGCTGGGAGCTGGGGGCACTGTCATACAGTGGTTCCGCTCCTTCCTCCTGGGCCATGTTCAGAAAGTGGGGGGGGGGATGTGTGTTCAGACCCCTGGGCTCTCACTTGTGGGGTGCCTCAGGGTTCTGTCCTCTCCCCCCATGCTTTTCAACATTTACATGCAGCCGCTGGGAGAGATCATCAGGAGGTTTGGGCTGGGTGTTCATCAGTATGCGGATGATACCCAGCTCTACCTCTCTTTTAAATCAGAACCAGTGAAGGCGGTGAAGGTCCTGTGTGAGTGTCTGGAGGCGGTTGGAGGATGGATGGCGGCTAACAGATTGAGGTTGAATCCTGACAAGACAGAAGTACTGTTTTGGGGGACAGGAGGCGGGCAGGTGTGGAGGATTCCCTGGTCCTGAATGGGGTAACTGTGCCCCTGAAGGACCAGGTGCGCAGCCTGGGAGTCATTTTGGACTCACAGCTGTCCATGGAGGCACAGGTCAAATCTGTGTCCAGGGCAGCTGTTTACCAGCTCCATCTGGTACGTAGGCTGAGACCCTATCTGCCTGCGGACTGTCTCACCAGAGTGGTGCATGCTCTGGTTATCTCCCGCTTGGACTACTGCAATGCACTCTACGTGGGGCTACCTTTGAAGGTGACTCGGAAACTACAACTAATCCAGAATGCGGCAGCTAGACTGGTGACTTGGGGCGGCTGCCGAGACCATATAACACCGGTCTTGAAAGACCTACATTGGCTCCCAGTACGTTTCCGAGCACAATTCAAAGTGTTGGTGCTGACCTTTAAAGCCCTAAACGGCCTCGGTCCAGTATACCTGAAGGAGCGTCTCCACCCCCATCGCTCTGCCCGGACGCTGAGGTCCAGCGCCGAGGGCCTTCTGGCGGTTCCCTCATTGCGAGAAGCAAAGCTACAGGGAACCAGGCAGAGGGCCTTCTCAGTAGTGGCGCCCGCCCTGTGGAACGCCCTTCCAGCAGATGTCAAAGCGATAAACAACTACCTGACATTCAGAAGACATCTTAAGGCAGCCCTGTTCAGGGAAGTTTTAACGTGTGATATTTTACTGTATTTTTGGTTTCTATGGAAGCCGCCCAGAGTGGCTGGGGAGGCCCAGCCAGATGGGCGGGGTATAAATAATAAATTATTATTATTATTATTATTATTATTATTATTATTATTATTCACTATGTGCTGCCATCTCTGCTGTTTTTGTCCGGTGTTAGTATTCCAATCAAACTGCTTTACGAATATATAGTCATGTTTACCATAACTAATTAGGTGTTTGGCAGTCCATTCAAGAAGGAAACACTATCTGGAGCAAGGATAAGGGAGAAATTCAGTTTGGTTTGCATTTTAAAGCGAACCTACCAAATTTGCTCTCCGCAAGCTGAAACACCACAGCTGTTCTCTGAATTTTGCACTTCTCCACAGTTCTTCAATCAAAACAAGATGTATGTGCGCTGGAAAATGCACACATTGGTGAGAATTATATAACAAACCAATTATACTAGGGGAATCAGTTTGCAAAAATGTATGTATTTGGAGAAACTGCATACAAAAATATGCTGGTGAATTTCCATGAGGAGTTTCCCCCCCAAAAAAATAAAAGAGCAAACTGATGAGGAAGTGTGCGCAACTGAATTTAGCACTGGGAAAAAATAGAAACTGAGAGAAATTAAACCTGACAGAGTCATCCATCCCTAAATTGAAGTAAAAAAATAATTAATCCATGTGGATTTGTTTGTCTTTCCAGTGAACACTTTCCACAAGTTTTCCTCCATGGGGAATTCTGTTTCCCCAGGAATGATTTAGATAGCAGATGTTCCTACATGGGAGTTCAGATGCTTTTTGGATTTAACCTCAATAATGGGAAATATTTAATGTAATAAACTTACATGCACATACTTTAGCTAATGAACGGAGCTTCACTGCATGACAAGGCACTCCCGAAGCAAATCTACATGTTACTTGGCACGCTTAAGCAAATCTGCTTGTTATGATACCTCCACAGGGTTACATCCTAAAGTTGGTCCTTGTAGATAAATTATTGTGCGATGCCTAGAAACAAGGAGATAATACTGTTCAGGAAGTAGCCACAAACAACTTTTCCTCTCAAAACATCACCCAATTTTCCCTTTAATCCCAAAGTATTCAGAAAGCTTGTACCGTAAATCCAAAACATGGATTCTAAACTGCAATAGCCTATGCTGAGTATTTAACAGGGACACAGTGTGTGACTGTGTGCAAATCATGTTTATGCACTGGTGGTTATCAAATTCTGTGTGCTGATAATTTCATTCCCATGCCTGGCCTTTTTCTATTTTTGGGAGCAGAGTTTGCCAGATCAGTTGGAGCAGACTCTCAAGCTTCCCAGCTAGCAAAGCACACAACCCTGCTTCCTCCTCTCTTCTTATCTCTCCCTTTTTTCAATCCTGGGAGTAACTGGAAGCTATGAGATGCAAAACATGCTTGCCATACCTTTCTCACACACTGCTACAAATGGGAACAAGACCATTTTTCAATGGCTGTTTTGGACCTAATGGTCAGGGGTCCCTTTACCTTTACCTATTCTGGCTTACCACAGGAGAAGATGAGGAGATCCTTGTGCCGATCATCATACCAGGTTCCATACTTCACCACCACTGCTGTCATTAGCTTTTGAACACAGAGATAGCTCAGTTGGTAGAGCACGAGACTCTTATTCTCAGAGTCATGGGTTCAAGTCTCATGCTGGGTGAAAGATTCCTGCACTGCAGAAGGTTGGACTAGATGATCCTCACGGTCCCTTCAAATTCTACCATTTTGTGATTCTGTGAAGTTTCATGAAGTTTGGTTACCAAGCACTGAGATGGCAGCACCCTCCTGCAAATGTCCTAGGGCTTACTAGTTTTTGCACACGCTCACTCAACTCTGAGCAGCCTGCTGCTATAAGTATGGGACTATGTGAGGAAGAGGAAATATTTTGTCTTTATACAGTTATGGCCTCTTTTGTGTAACCTCTGGGATTCAGGGGCCTAAATTACATTGCAGTTCTGCTTTGAAATCACAAAAGGAAAGCACTGTGGAAGTGTAGAGTTTCTGTCAGCAGTACCAATAACTCTTTGAAATCCCTTTCACCTTGACTTTTCTTTTTCTCTTTTTTTCCAGGACCCAGAATAACTCAGACAGATGCTAAATTTATCCACCTCCTCCTCTTTTCTCCAGGATCGTTAGATTAATTTTCCAACCCAGGGCCTATCTACATACCAATTTGTGTACTGGATCAGTGAGACAAACAGCTGAGATAAATGATACACAGCAAGCAAGCGCTGGCTTGTGGGGGATACTCAATCCCTCTGTATGTCGGTGTCCTGGTTGGGAATGCATTCATGAGGCAGCAGGTGAAGTTCCTATCTGTGGAGGACAGCCTTGTAAAGCAGCAGCCCTTCAGCTAGCAGAAAGCAATCCTTTAAAACTCAGCGAGGCACAAAACAGACCCCAAAAAGAGGCACTTTGCTGCCACAACTTTGTAGGATGCAGACAGTAAATTGTGGCGACCAGTTGAGAGCAGGGGATCAAACAGACTCCTCTTCCACTTGTGAAATGTCCACATTTTTCTGAAACGTAGTTGAGTATTTAGTACTTCTATCATATGTTTATTAGCAGAGATGCATCCCAGACATCCATGAGAGATTCACCACGCGGTTGAGTTGATGGGCAAATTTATTTATGTATACATAAACTTCAATGCAATGCCAACACCACCAATAATAATAATACTGAAAACAGCACAAAACAACAAAAGTAGAGAGTTCAAAATGCAAATTAAAAGACTGTAAAATCCCACACACCTGGCTCAAAATTAGGTTTTGCAAACTCAGCTATTACCTTATGAAACAAAACAAAAAAATAGATTTGTTCATTCTGGGTCAAATTGGGACTCTTCATGCTCCCACTGACATTGGGAGCATAACAGGATCCAAACACCTTCCCAAACCTCTCATGAGCCCCAGAGAGTTCCTATAGCCTGTCCTGCTCTCTTTTTCCTGGTCTGGTGGTGATAGAAGCACAGACTCCACAGAGACCTCCTGGTCTCCCCCTCATTTATTTTTATGCTTACGTTGGGGCGTAAATAAATAAATAGTCTGACATTTATCCAAAGAACTGGAGTGCCCTTCAAAAACTACATTTCCCAATGTTGCTAGCACCTGGGACGCAACTGTGTGGCTGTGATCAAGGAACCAGGGATGAAGGCCTCTCTTGGGGCTCCAGTGGCTCCTGTTATGAGGCCAATTAAGCTGAGAGTCAGGGCTCTTCTCCAACTTGTATTTGAATGAGAGCCAGAGAGGAACTTGCGGGTGCATCATAACTCTGTACACATTGGAAGGCAAGCTTTACAAGGCAGGCATGCGGCATCTCTAATGGGAACAGATACTTATTTATTCTCTAGTCACCATCTTTGCCCAGTAAAGAATCACATCTTCATAGATGGTTTGTAGCCATTTATTAATAGATTTAACTGCAGCAGTTTGGATGTGTTTGAGACATGATTTTCAACATGCAAAGACACACATCTTGACTATGAATTCTTTGGACAGCTGGATCAGATGTGTAGCACAGTGGTAGAGCACACACATTGTATCTCCGTTTAAAAGGATAAGGTTTCAGGTGATGCGAGAGGCATCTGTCCAAAACCCTGGTGAACTACTGCCAGTCAGAGTAGACATTACTAAGCTAGATGGAGAAATAGTCTGACCTGGTATAAGGCTGCTTTTTAATGGCAGTTTATTCCATCTTCCACACATTTCCCTAACTGTTCATTTCTGTATTCTATCTGAGCTTTCACATTACATAAACGAGACTTCCTGGAATATTGTGCAAGACTGCATTCTCACAGCCGTTTATCCTGCTTTCTCAACAATTTCCTGATAATCTCCACATTGTATTTGAGCTTTCACATGACACAGAAGTCGGTAAAGTAGAATAAACATGTCATGTGAATGCCGTTTTGCATTATATTCTGGTATATTTCTGTAAGTGGCTTTTATAGTTGCACTCTCAGTTTATTTCATTTTCTAGACATTTCCTTAACTGTTAATTTCTGCATTATATATTTGAACTTTCACATCATGGAAAAGCTAGTTGTGGAAATACAGTGGAATATAATGCAAATTTAGTGCTCATTTGCATGTTACTTTCTTCCGGGGGGGGGGGGGAATGCAAATAGCATGCTAAACTTGTGTTATATTTTACTATATTTCTGCAAGTAGCTTTTACGTTGTGTGGAATATAATAGAATGTGGAATAGAATGTGGAAAGGAACACCTAGGGGAATGTCAGGAAAATGCAATAGACTGACATGTGAATGCAACTCAAGTCAGCATCATATGTTCCCCTTAGAAAAAAGGCTGAGGAATGCTTGGTCAGTGCCCTCTGAGGCCAGCTTGACCCACAGCTTGCCCTAATTTAGTCAGCATTTCACTCCATGTTAACTGGTAAACTATTTATAGGCCACATTTTAGAAAATGTATCTGTGACCTTCGCAAGTACAGCCAGCTGGGATGAATAACCGCCTAGGGTGAGTGTTCAGACAGGTAGAAACAGAAATAGGCCTTTTATTGCAAAAGGCCAGATTATGAATTTTAAAGCACAGGCCTACATCAATGCACACACTTCCCACTGGAATCTATTCAGTGCGGGGAGAGGGTCCTTCAGATGGATGTTTGGACATGTGAAAGCTCTCCTTTGGAGTCTTCCAGCTCCCCTTCCCCTCTCTGAGATTTGAATTCCCACCATATCATCTTTTTGCCTTTCACTCTATAACTCCTCAAAGCATAGAGCAGTTCAAGACATTTTGCTGCCTGAGGCAAAGGGCAAGATGGCACCCTATCTCCAGGCAGGATAAGACTGCTGACTGAATCTATTATAGCACACTACAGGGGGGAGGACAGGCTGTGCAGCGTTCACAGCTCTTGTCTTTCATCAGAGGAAAATGGCCAATGGACTTAGGAGAAACTTACAGAGGGCTGCTGCTGCCTGAGGGCAGTCACCTCAGTTTGCCTAATGATAGGACTGGCCCTGAAGCATTTTGTCACACTGAGAGCACCCGGACCCCTAAGAGGCAGACATGGGGTTTTTCTCCCACCTGAGGTTCCCGTTGTTTCTGTGGCAGGGCTCTTGTGCTTTTAACAACTGAACAACAGGCAGAAATTCAGTTGATGAAACTCTCTCCACTACAAAAGGGCTGATTCCTCATCCCTAGGTATCATTTTTGGTCAGATGTTATCAGACTGAAGATCACTGACCACAGGGAAAGAAGCAGGAGTCCAGCAGAACTGAGAAACAGCTGAAGAATAATACAGCTAGATGTTATCCTGGAATGCATACATTGAATAATTTTTATAATTGCCATATGCATAATTGGCAGAGAATGGGAAGCCCTTCTTATTTCCTTATATTTCTTTTTTAACCTTACTTTTATATGAACTTTAACTGAGAGGGTTCACTCTTCTGTGTGTTGAAGTTATACAGTAATTGTGATAGAGGGCCTTGTATCCTCTTTCTCTTCTTTTCCCCGTTCTGTATCTTTCCCCCTTTCCTTTTTTCTTTCCTTTTAAAACTGATTACAGGTGTAACAAGAGTCCAGCTCACATCAGCTGCAGCCAGTGGTCAGGGATGATGAAAACTGTAAGCCAAAAACATCTAGAAGGCCACAGAGAAGAGAAAGAATATGATATCTACCTTTTAGGTTTGATAATTAGCAGGACAAAACTGAGGGTTTTATACAGGTTTTGGTATTTTTATGAGAGTCTGGGAATGTCTGTGGTATGACTGGTAACCCTCCCAAGCTCATTTTCATCAGATTGTGTTAATCATCGCTACCCCTTCCTGCCACAGACATATCAGTTCAAATGGAGGCAGCTTTTAGGCTGCAATCCTCTACCAACTTACCTTGAAGTAAGCCCCATTGCACTGTTAGTGCCTCCTGTTAGTGCCTGGTACCCTACGAAAATGCATGCACGTGAATCTTTGAAATTTGGTGGGTGCCGACATGCGCATGTGAATGCTGACAATCCCAGGTGCATTTTGTGACTATCCAAAGACAGAGGTGTTGCCCCATTTTTCAGATGTACATGAGTGGATGCTGACAATCGTTTTTAGTAGATATTCACTGGTGTGTCAATGGAGTTTTTGAGACTTTCACAAAACTTACCTGGGATTCTCAACATTCCCATGTCAATGTTGATATTCTTCGTATTTCAGATATTCACAGATGGTATGTGTGAGATGCATAACACGCAAGGCAATATCTACACCAAGGCTAGGAATCTTGGAGGATTAGGAGAGGACTTTAGTGTCCCCTAGCTCTCTTCAACATACACACCAAGACATTTATAGCTATCCTGGTGTCCAATATTACGGCTGTGATTTACAGTCTCTCTCCTCCCTTCTCCCCCCGCACCATAGGATTACACAAGCATGTGTGTCTAGCCAGCAGTTGACCCAAGGACATCAACAAACTAAAATAGATGACTCCTTCTTCCTGTTTGGTGCTGCTTGACAGCACCAAGAAAAGAGCTCCAAGTTGAGAATGGCTTTATATAAATTAAAGGACATGCCATTTAAAGTCAGAGGTTTCAGCAGCTACATTGGATCCACAAGATGACAGAGAGAAGAGGCGAGTGAGAAAACACCTTTTTATTTGAGCAACAAATGGCCAAAAAAAGATAAAAGCAAGTTGCAAAAGCAGTGTGACTGATCTTAAATGCAGTAAGTCCCACTGAAGTCAGTGCATGACTTTTTCCTAAATACTATATACACGTTTAACATCAGGCTACTGGTGGGGAATAGGTCAAACTAGAAGCTTGATGTTTGCCCAGCTAAGCTGAGGGTTTTGTGAAACAAAGAGTTGTGAGATTTTATTGTGAGATTTTATTGTAGCTGGTTTACAAAACAGTCTGGCATATGGGCAAAGGCAATTAAATTACACACAGTTCAAAGGCACGCAACACAGCCAAATATTTCAGCTTGATACAGTGGAATTTTTTTCCAACTAGGAAAATTTCCAGCCAGGAAATATACAGAAGCTCAAATGATTCATTTTAGGGGATTGTGCCATGCCCGGTGCCCTGAGGCTTCTGAAGGTAGAGCGCAGATAATAGAGCAGCAGAAGATTAGAAGAATTGGAGGTAACTAAACAGATGTCAATTCAGGTCAAATTCAACGCTGGCACCTAGCGGCTAACAGATTCGGCAATGACCCAGCTGAGAACAAGCCCTAACAAATGATTAGATTTACAGTAAATACACTTGCATGTTTACATTGCTTTGACATTCTTTTGAATGTAAAGTGATTCAGACATTTTCTAAATAAATAGATAAATAAGTATTTGTGCCTTTTGAGGATGTATAAATGTACAATTTATCTCACGTATGGCAATAAATAAATCTGCCACTCAATACAATCTTTAGAAAGGTCATCTTTAATATTTTATTTTTCATTAATTTGGGAATATGAAACAGAGAATCTTTTCTATTACAGTAATGAGTAACGGATCATTCAGTGCCAACATGGCTTCCAAAACAAGTTCAATCTCCGCAGGTAGAGTTACCCATCATTAACTGAGTACTGCCAGCGTTAATTTCCTGGGGTTCTTCCTACAGAAGGGTAGCAATAGTAGAAATCAAGAATATCTCTTAGCTATGGGTCAGCAAGAAGGAAATTCGACCTTTAAATTTTCCATTTCATCCAGCACAAGGAGGAAAGTGTGTGTCATACAGAAACATTGCTCCGATCTGTCTGGATGTAATAGCATACCTTCCAAGATGACCCGGCCCAAGTCTGGGACACCATCTTCCAATGCCACATTCCCTTGTGAGTCACATGACCCATACAAAGTTGCAGCCCCCAAAACACTTTTTTGGGAGGGGGAACAGCACCCCAAAATGCACATTTTGGGGCACTGTGCAAGATCACAGTATGCATGCACATTCAACTGCCTAACGGCATCCATGTCACCCAGGAGATCTCAGCTGCAGAGATAAGAAAAGAAGAGTCATTTCATTGTCTGAAGAGGTCACTTTCTGGCTCACATGGAGAAGCTGTTTTCAGTGCAGCCCACTGACAGAAGTGCACAGCTGTATTGAGGCAGTACCGGGTGTTGAAATTTTGTGCCCCCTAACAATTTTGCACCCGGCTCAACCACCCCTGTGGTCTCTCCCCGTGCCACTGATGTATGGTAATACCTGTTCCGACCTGAGACACCATCACATCAGTCACACCCATCGTCACATTCCCCTCCCCATTAAAACTGGGGCACTTCATGCAAAACAGGATCCCTTTGCTACACCGTTGATGACCACCAAAGAATAGACAGCAGAAAACAAACAAACCCTTACTACAGCAGAAGGCTTTAAAATCGATTCATCTGACTGATGGACCGATTTATAGTTTGATTACAGATTAAAACTAAAGCTCTGATTAATCAGACTCAGCCATCTGGGCTCTTCTGAGTGTCACAACGAGGACACTACACAGATAACGAGGGAGAAAAGTCTATCCCACAAGCACGGGAAACAGACAGTAGATGCTTAACAAAAGTATCCCCTCCCATCTGTTTCCACAACCAGAACACCCTTGTTCTCTGTCAGCTCCCTGCATCAAATTACATTCTTGTCCGCTCAAGTTCTCTGGGGAACTTTCTGCTCCATATTGTGGGGAACAGAGGAATGAGCCTGCTAGGGTTAGTGGCTATTGCAATTCCACATCTGCCAGTACTGAAAGGAAAGGAATACATTGAAATATTTATTAAAACATTTATCCTTTGCATGTTTCTAAATTGACTCCAAGTAGATTTAGGTAGCAAATCCAAAGCATTAATAGTTATGTATTTATTTCATTTATATCTTAACCTGCCTTCAAGATGTTCACAGAACCATACACGGTCCCTCTCCTGAACCACACCGCCACTTTAATCTCACTGCAAGCCCATTGAGGTATGTTAGGATGAACAAGAGTACCTGGTCAAAGGTCACCCAGTGAGCTTCATGGCTGCATTCAAACTCTGGTTTTCCCAGTCCTAGTCTAGTATAACTAGTCTCTGAACATGCTGGTTGTCTCACAGATAATGTGGCGCAAACGTCTCTTAATGGGCTAAAAGCCATTGATCATCTTCCACCAGCTTGGAGAAGGAGACTGTTTGTCTTCAAGGGCTGATCACACCCATCAGCTCCACCCCACCTTCTTAATGGCTTAATGGAGTATGTTACCTAACACTGAGACTGGGATTTGTTTTAATAAACAGTCAGATCACTAGTAGAGCAAAACATTCAAGGCAGTGTACTGATGCAACAAATTCCACTCTGCAATTGCAAAATGGAAAGCCTTGGAGAGATAGTCGAAGAAGAGCTGGGGGAAATTGAAGACAGAGAGCAACCAGCAGTGGACAACATGATGGGGCTCTGGGGCTCACCTGACCTCAAACCAACTGAGTCACTGCAGCACACCTGGATAGAAAAGGTGAGGGTGTGGCAACAGCAGAGAGACTGGCACAGTGCAAATGCACCAGCAGGAATAATAGAATTGCAGAATCCTCCATTGCAGGGATCTCAACTAAAGCAGCAATGACAGGTGTCCATCCAAACTCTGTTTAAAAACCTGCAAGGAAGGAAAGTCCACCACCTTCTGAGGGAGTCCATTCCACGTGCCCCTCCATCTCTGCTGCAATGGCAGAGGCAGCCAGAGGTCAGGCAAGCAGTGCAGCCCCACCACGCTGTCTGCTGCTGGGAGCAAGGCACTGAGTATATGGACAGCTGTGTCAAACGTCTCCTCACTCCTATTTTGTACTCCAGCATTGTGACCACAGGATATGACCCAAACACATTGTACTAAGCTCACAGTCCAAATAGATCAGGGAAGGATGACCAAGTAAGTACAGGATGCCAACTGTGCTGTGCAAATGCTGTAGCAGCAGCGGTGGACATGCTTTGCAGTGGTGCTTCATGGAGGGAGCCTCCCAATTTAGTTTGATTATACACCAAGTATCCAATGACATGCATTCTGACTGGAGGTGAAACATGATTATGAGAAGAAGAAATTTAAATAAAGATGAAGTACATATCTTCAGAATGGATATACATTACAGGTGCATCTTTATTTAAGGTATTAACTGACATGACAAAGTTTTATTAGAATAAATTATTATTATTATTAAAGATAAATAACTTCAAACCTTCTCTAACAAAATTCACAGCTTTTCAGCTTGAGTGCCCTTGTACCTTCCTCCTTACCTTTGAGATGAGCAAAGTCATCAGTGATTCTTGGAATACCCACCGGATGGTCTTGTTTATCAAAAGAACAGATAGTCCTCAAAGTCTGTCTTGAATTTTAGTATTCATAAGTAGGAGATTAGAAGGACCTTTGCATGACCACTCTGCTCTTGAAGATAAACAACTATGGGAGTCAGAAAGAGAGCAGAATAAACAGTCAGCAGAACAGGAAAACCTCCTACTCTGGGCTTCCTTGATAGTGGCAGACTTGGGACATTTTTGTGAGAGAGACTTTTAAAATAAAACTAAAATGGCCGTACGTTGTAATTTAATAAGATTTCTGAGCCGGTGGTTCCCCTGCAACCTGTGAGTCTTCATTTACCACACATGGCCATCACTGTGCAGCCACCATTAGAAGCAATATGAAAAGGGGAAAACCTTGTAGCAATTACAGTGCTTGGAGACAGTCAAGTTGTGCATTGATGGCAGTGACCAGAGGAGGAATGACCACTGGGAGGAGTGCAGAGGGAAGAAATGCCATGGCACAACCAGGTGCCTTCATCTGCCCCAACTGCAACAAAACATGTCTTTCCTGCATTGATCTCAATAATAATAATAATAATAATAATAATAATAATGGATTTTATTTATACCCCGCCCTCCCCAGCCAAGACCAGGCTCAAGGCGGCTAACACCAAATATAAAACAAGTTGATTGAAATACAACTTAAAAACAGGGTTAAAATACAACATTAAAATGCAGCCTCATTTCAGCAGAAACTCAAAAACTTTTTTGGGGATGAAAACATCAAGTCTTCACCAAGGCTAATTATCCAGACTGGTCCTACGTGGGCCAGAAAAAAGCTAGTGAAGTCCCCAAGTAGGAGTTCCGTCACAGAAGGAAAAGGAAAAAAGAAAGAGGGGGAGGGGATCAAGTTAATTCCAAGCCAAAAGCCAGGTGGAACAACTCTATCTTACAAGCCCTGCAGAAAGAAATCAGATCCTGCAGGGCCCTGGTCTCATGAGAGAGAGCGTTCCACCAGGCCGGAGCCAGTGCTGAAAAGGCCCTGGCTCTGGTTGAGGCGCTGTAACCTTCGAGCAGTTTGACGTCGCCCCCAAAGGCACACTCCTCCATGGTCTCCCAAGACAGATGGATGCCAACCAACTTGTTCAGAACCTTGAGGACTGGGGTCTTATTTTATATGTAACAAGTGAAACATAGCTTAGCATTAGAGCACATGCTTTGCATGCAGAATGTCCCTGGTTCAGTCCTGGCTTCTTCTGGCAGGGCTGGGAAAGACGTCTGCTTGAAACCCTGAAGAGCAGCTGCCAATCAGTGTACGCTAGGGCTGCCAAACATCTGGGTTTTCCCAGAGATATCTGGGATTCGACCATCGAAAATGGCATCCGGGGGGACTTTTCACAAATTGGCAAAGTGTCCAGGAAAACCAGGACGTACGGCAACCCATTTTGGAATTGAAGTTCAAACGCAACTTTTTGAAGCTCAACAGCTTTTGTGTCCAGATTTTCACTTTTTGAAATATGACAACCCTAGACAGTACAAAGCTAGATGGACCAATAGTCTTCCTTGGAATGAGTCAGTTTCTTAATGAGAACCTCTTCCCTTTGCTGTTTTTTAAAAAAAATTCTTAATGATCACGAATTCCACATTCATCAACCTGAATGACCCCAAAGTTGCTATCTCCCATTTTTGTCATCGCTTTCTTCTCCAGAAGGTAATTAGGTGAGTCACTAACATGGTACTAGGGCACTGAAAGTCATTTTATCCTAGCCAGCCCTCTCATTCACTGTAACCCAGACAGGGCTCTCCCCCACACCCAGCAAATAGTTCTGCATGTCAGCATTTGCTGTTTTTGCAAATATGCTATTAATAGAGTGGTCCGGTCTCTTGCTATGGATGAGAACAAAATGATTGACAGGTACCTCATACCATCACAAGCTGTGACCCAAAGCCCTTTAGATGCATAGCGATCGCTGTTGCTTACTATGGCAGATGAAATTCCATGCATATGGAATTCGTTGCTTATAGCCCTGTTTGTGTGCATAGGGCTGCATTTATAATTTGTTGGAAGCCGCCCAGAGTGGCTGGAGCAACCCAGTCAGATGGGCAGGGTATAAATAATAACTTATTATTAATTATTGTTGTTGCTGTTGCTTTTGGGCTGCACTCTCCTGCTCCACCCATAATAGGCAAAAGGAGTCAGGCAAAAGCACCATTAGAATGTGGGGCAATATGTGCAATTGTGAGTGGTGAGGGACAATAGGCTATACACTGACGTCAAAATGAACACACAGGTCTCAGATGCAAAAATGCTTCTGAATACTAGTTGGTGGAAACCACAGAAGGGTGGTTTTTGCTCAGGTTCTGCATGTTTCCCACAGGCATCTGGGATGCCACTGGGCTGGACTAGATGGGCCATGGGCCTGATCCTGCAAGTGCTTCTTGTGCTCTTATGTCTCTGCTTAAAAGATGAATTCTGAACAAATCCACCAGTGTATACTCTTAAGAGAGAAAGTTAGCAACACGCCACTGTCCTAGCTGTTCCAGTCAGCAGAGCCAGCTTACCCATGGGATTTGTACTAGATGCAAATAAAAGAGTCCCAAGTCCCCAGTGCTTGGATGTGGCAACATTAGCAACAAGCATAATCTTTGTGCCGGGTTTGGTTTTCAAGAGCAACAGCAGCAGGATCCAGGGTGATTAGCAGCAGTGCAGAGACTAATAATAATAGTGAGCTTATGTGTCTTTTGGAATGTTCAAAGCATTTATTTAAGAGGAACATTCAAGGAGTGAGCTCTAGTCCAACTGGGTCTCATATGGCCCCATCATGAAGGACACTTCCAGACTGTCACTATTTTTGTGTGGGATTCAATCACATACCAGCAAATCCAGACCTTGCCATTATTGTGGATTGGGAGGTCTTGCACAACAACCCCGCTTCCCCAAAAGAGCAGACCTTTTTTGAGAAAAGGAATGTAATGAGAAATTGCATTGGAGAATGTCAGATAAGACTTGCTGTGATGAAACTGCACCTAACCTCTCAAGCAAATCAGTCAATCAATGCTTTTATTTGTATGCTACCTTTACAAAGTTAAAACCATGCTGAAGGAGGCTTAAAGGTAAAGGGACCCCTGACCATTAGGTCCAGTCACGGACAACTCTGGGGTTGCGGTGCTCATCTCGCCTTACTGGCCGAGGGAGCCGGCGTCATGTGGCCACCATGACTAAGCCACTTTCTGGCGAATCACAGCAGCGCACAGAAACGCCATTTACCTTCCTGCCGGAGCGGTACCTATTTATCTACTTGCACTGCATGCTTTCGAACTGCTAGGTTGTAAGGAGGCTTACAACATATTTTAAAAATTGCACAATTCCAAGCATAGCAGAAGGAGTCGTGAACAGTAAAGAAGACATCCAAAAGTACACAACCAAACCAAACAATTTCCACATAAAACGTAAGATCCAAAATAAAAATAGAAAAAATTAACATCTACAACAGCAACAACCCCTCTCCCCTAAACAATACCCCAGCCCAACATTCTGCTCAGCGGCATCAGCATTTGTATCTGGAGTCAGTCACGTCCCCAGCCTCCCAGGCCAGTTGGAAAAAGGCTTGCAAGGCAGGGAGAGCCAGTGTGGTGTAGTGGTTAAGAGCGGTAGATTTGTAATCTGGGGACCCGGGTTCGCTTCCCCGCTCCTCCACATGCAGCTGCTGGGTGACCTTGGGCCAGTCACACTTCTCTGAAGTCTCTCAGCCCCACTCACCTCACAGAGTGTTTGTTGTGGGGGAGGAAGGGAAAGGAGATTGTTAGCTGCTTTGAGACTCGTGAAGGGGAGTGAAAGGCGGGATATCAAATCCAAACTCCTCCTCCTCCTCCTCTTCTTCTTCTTCTTCTTCTTCTTCTTCTTCTTCTTCTTTCAGGACTCACAGCCAATATGGTAAAGTTGAATGCTTAAGAAACAGGTGGTCTGGAAGGTATTCAAATAGGCATTAAACACCTACTTGTTCTCTCAAAGCACTTTTTCTTGAAAGTATATGATCCTGTTGCTCCTTGATATGCTTGTTGCTGTTGTTGTTTTACTGCTGTTTTATTGTGGCTTATCCCTACAGCTGCCTCCTTTTGGCCAAAGGGCCACATTCATCTTGGACCGACTCTTTGGGGTGGTGCAGGTGCCCCCCATCCCTCCTCAGTTGCTCCATGCAAATCAGCTGAGCACGGCAGCTATCATCCCCTCTCTGCTCATCAAATGTTCACTCTGATGACCTGGGAGGGGGCAGTTCACCCCCTCCTCAGAGTTGCAGGACTCTGCCCTCCTCCCCTCTTCCCCAGCCAGTGTTGTATCTACTGCAAAAGTGAGTTCCGGGGCAGTGGGAGGAGGGGGGAGGTGGTAGAAAAAATTGCCAGCAAAGTTATTGAGATTGCAGCATGACTCTACAAAGCAGTTCGTGTAAATAGGCAAAGCAAGTCATTTTAATGTTCCTCTTAGGATCTGTGGTGGTAGAGGAAATGAGAGCATGCAGCATAGAGGGAGGGGGAAATATTCCCTTTCATTTAAGGAACCCACAACTCTGGGGCAAACAGGTGGATAAATTTAGGCATGCTAGGGCATGCATGTTATTTCTCTTAAGCCTTCTTAGATAATGATAGTAACAGATGTTTATCACAAAGTCACAGTGAGGCAAATATAGCTGCATCTTTTCTACATACAGAGACATAAAACTTATTACAGCAATGTGGATCAGGTGCCAGTACACAAAGTTGAAAATCAGAGAGCTGCATTTTTGCACCACCCTTGACTAATCCATCAATATCATTTCTCTCTGGCTATCTATTTCCTCCAGTCTACAATAATAGAATCATAGAAATGTAGAGTTAGAAGGGCCATCTAGTCCAATGTCCAGCAATGCAGGAATCTCGACTAAAGCATCCATGACAGAAATGCCATCCACCCTCTGCTTAAAAACCTCCAGTGAAGGAATGTGATTATTTCACTACCTGAAGCCCAAGTTACCTTTGAGACCTGCCTTTCATAATCTTATCTTAAAATCCTGCAGGGAGATGCTGTCAGACAGAAATCACTGGATTAATACATTCTGCAATATATTCATCCATGAAGGTGTTCCTCTGGGACTTCTTCCTCT